ACTTCCACTGTTATTCACATGGAGAATATGGCAGGAGGAAGTGAAATTAAGCCAGAGGATGCTTCCAAAGCAAAGGGGGTGGTGCAGGAGATGAAGACTGAGAAATTTGTTCACTTCCTACATTTTATGCTGGACTATAGTACCATCTTATCCAAGTGCAGTACTGATTTTCAGCATGACAACTTAATCACATGAACAAATCAGTTAGTTCAGGGTACCGCATCACGCTTACTCAGCCTGAAAACAAAACCTGGAGAATACCAGAAAACCTTGGACACAAAGTTCACAGTGAAAGAGGATGGCAGCATTTGCTACTGTGGAACTCCACTCACAAAAAGCCAGCGACCTGCTAGAAGAAGTGAGGGCACAGACAAAGGCACTGCTACAGAGATTCAGAAGATTATTGATAACACAGTTAAGTACATGGACAGCAGATTTAAAAATCTGTGTGAAAAGCCTCTCTCTTGTTTCAAAGTGTTTGACCCTTCCACTCTTCCCCACACCAGAGAAGAGCTGGCAAATTATGGGGATGAAGAGGTGGATTATCTTGTCACACATTTTGCCAGTTTGCTAAATGGGGAAGAGAAGGAGAAAATTCCACAGGAATGGATGGATCTAAAAATGTGGCTTACACAACACCGGGGTAACAAGCTATATTGTTTGTACAGAGATCTCCTCTCTGAGAATCCAGAACACCTTTCTCATATCTTGTTGCTGGTGAAACTAGTGCTCACTCTTAGTCCATCGACAGCCATCTGCGAGAGAGGATTTTCCTGCATGAGCCGAGTGAAGACTGCATACCGTACATCTCTACAGCCTGACACACTGAATGACTGTATGCAACTCTCCATGAAAGGGGATTCAGTTGAATCTTTTTGCCCTGACAAGGCAGTTCAAGACACATGGAACATAAAACCCCGACAAGAACAAAGAGCAGAGAAATGGAGACTGATGCACAGGAGAAGGATGATGAAAAAGATGCTATGCCCTCAACGTCGAGTGCCATTTGTGACTTCAGTTGATATGTCAGATTCAATATGACACAGTTGCTGATTATTGATATTCTACATTAAAAATATTTTTCTTATTTTATTCAGGCTACTTAAATTCATTTCGGGATAGTAAAAACCAAAGAGTACCTGCCCGAAGGGCTACCAGGGATTTTGAAATTTTGCGAGCCCTGTTATAGATATTAATGCAGATTTATTTTGCAATCTTGGGTATCAAATTCTGTTTTTGAGTCCAGGTAAAGTAGAAATAAATGTGTTTTTAGTTTGTCACACCACTGGAAAATGTGTTATTAACCACCCAGCCAAATTTGAATGATCAAAAAGAGCACCAAGTATATAAAGTTAACTGTCAAAATCATGTAAAAATAAGGAGTATTCTCTGCTGTAAAACGTGGCAGGCATGTCAGGTGAAGACGATGAAACCATGCCTAATCGCGGAAATGTGCCACCTGCTCTCATCATGAATGTATTTAGGGAGATCATGTAGGAAAGATGTGGGATGAAGGCATAGCTAGCTAGCAAACTGCAGGTGGTGGAAGGTGTATTAACTCACTATCAGAGAAGTGGTAATGCGCTAGGGCTCTACAGGAGCATTTTATCAAAGACCACTGAGTGAGAGGAGTGGATGGAAAACATGGTTTTGGTGTTTATGGAGGTGCTTCTTCTTTGTGTTGGTATTTGAATGGGATCAGCGGTGCTCAGCTCCTACAAACACACACAGCAGGTGACAGGTGCTGTCACTGCAGTGGAGACAGAGAGCCCAGGAGAAGTGAAAATGAAACAGCTTAAGTTCACAATATCTATGTCTATGCTCATTATTGTACATGCAATAAAACCTTCAGGAGCAAAAAGCCAGTAAGAGCAATTTACCAAAACACCTGATAAACAAGGATAAACCTGCAGAGAAATGCAAATGTAAGCTTTGCCCACAGTCTGTAAGCTTGTTAGTCTAACAGCTGACAGCTAGTTTAACTGTGGAGCTCTGTTCAATGCAGCAGCTGCATGGTCCGCTGTGTGGCCATTTACTCCTCTTCCTCATGTCTCTCTCCCTCCACAAATGACAGTCTGTGTTGCTACTTTTGTCATTGTTTAATACTGAGGCAGCAGTATTGTTATTTTTATTAAAAACACAACTGTGGCCGTAAATGTTTGTCTGTGCTCATATCGAGTGACCCTAAAATCAAATGTAAACAGAATTCTGTGCATTCTAGTTCTTGTAACATTACGGTGGTTGGGGGTGGTGTTATTTTAAGGATGGCTCCAACGCATCATCAAGCCATGCTTTCTGCCCTGCCCAAAAACTCATAAATTAGCAATAATTGTTTATTGGTCTAACGCCACAATTCAGCACTACATAGTTTTCTTTTCATATTTTCAGTTACTATTTTCTGACATTTGTAATGTGTTTAGAAACAAATAACCAATTTTAATTTAACCCAACTTTAACATCACGTAGTGTTTAAAATTTATTTGCTGACAGAGTTACGGATGTAGAAAATTCATTTTTTTCTCACCTTCTCCCCTTGTAATGAAGGCACAGAATCTCGTAAACTGTGAAAGCTGTCTTTAATGTGGTCCCTACGTTTGCGCTCCAGGGCGTTGTGATGTGCTCGCTTGTCTGCCTGCAAGGGGACAGGTGATGTTTATACCAGGAATTCCTAAAACACCGGTCATTTACACAATATAGGGCTGTCACTTTTACCAAAAATCATGCTTGAACAATGTTTGAAGTGACATGAAATTCGTTTGAATCAGTTCGAACACATTAGTCTTCTTCGTGTCAAGTAAGCTGCAGGGATAAGACAGTCAGGTGAGGCTGTAGAATGGATGCTGCTCCACTCATCTGTGGTAACGTTAACTTCAGTGCCTCACTTGGATAGTGGGACTACAGGTGAGTCCTCAGATGTGCTGCAGTATTTGCACAGACATCTGCTTTTTTGCAGAGTTGTCAAACGGTTTATCTTGACACTGCTCCATGTCATTATTGTCCAATCGGCACAACTTTGCTCGCTACTGTCCTGCATTTCATCCTTTCAAACATAATGTTACTAGCTTACTTTACTGAGAGGTCAACAATAAAGTAACTGATCATGCTGATAATGAATTTTAAGAACGCCCTCTGTTGGACACCAAGGCCAATTACATCAAATGTCCTGTTGCTTTTGTTGAAAAAGTGTAGGATTGGAACAGGTCATTACACTTCAAATAATTTTTTACCACGTTCAAACGAATACTTGAAATTCAAATAAAAAGTGACAGCCCTAATACAAAAGCACACAGGATAAGATCAAGACAGTGGCATGAAGCTTTCTTACTTGATTTACACATTTTTTTAAAACATAAAACAGGGAACAACTAAAAGTTGCAATATGCAAACTTACAGGTTTTTCTAAAATGTGTAAAACCTTTCACAACATTCAGAGATGTAAAAACAGAGAAAATGTCACTGTATTATAACGCCACCCTTAACTGTCGAATCAGAAGCCAACTTCAGCATCGTACAGCTTTCCCGAGTTCAACAGTAGCTGTCAGACCATCTCTTTCATTTTAATGGAATTTTTCCCTTCCAGGTGTTAGGTTATTTTTTAGTTAGATAGATATTCAGAGATTTGTTGTATTAGAAGATGTTTAGTGTAGCCAGGATGTCTCCTCAGGATGTTAAATGCAAGGTTGGTTAAGGCAGAAGGGCTCAAGTCAGGGACGAATGTTATTATGACGGTAAAAGTAACCATAATATTTGTCTTAATGTGTAATGTTATGTCAAATTGTTTTAGATACACACCACGAAAACAACAGCCACACACATTATTTTCTTCATGTTTTGTCTACTGCTCTGCTCAGCTGCCAAGCTGGCATATCAGGTGACGTCACGGTTCGACAGCCCAGAAAGGATTAATATTGTATAGGAATTCTTGGTTCGGGGTCTTTCTGCTTCCGGGCTGCTTTTGGCAGGCTGGGGGTTGGAAGATCTCTGGACTGGAAGTGTGAATTCTTGCCTGTGACCCTTTGAATAAACCAGCACGGTTATATTTTTTATATACTCAAGTGGTCTGAGTCGTCCCTCTGAGTTCCTGGTTTGAAAGAACCGGATGAGGCTTTATAATGGAATAGAGCCTTTCACAGGCAAGCCTAAAATTCATTAGCCCCATTTCATACACTGTCATCTAACATTACTGTGCGGCAGATACTCCCGGAAAATCCCACAGAAAGTCTCTGATAAGCAGCTGTGCACTGCTGATGTTAGATATGGCTAACATTAGCTATAGCCCACTTGTAGCTAAAATTAGCACTTGCTGCAACAAACCTCTGCCACCCCAGCATAATGTTAGCTAAAAGTGAGCTTTAACGTAGCTCATTTCTGTGAGTAAAGACACCAGCAGAGAGAAACATATAGCTCCTCGGATATCGCAGCTGAATTCAGAGAAACCGCTGTAGTAACTATGTGGCCATTCTCAGCAGACAGATGACTTGATGCCAATAGTAGTGATGGCCATCTGACACCAAGGCCTCGATACATGATTCGAGCTCGGAGAGGGATCTCCCGCGAACCACTGCCTTAAGGCTTGTATCGTTGCCGAAAAGACACGTGACTGATGACGTCCGACGCAGAAACAGCTTGCCTGAGTGACTCCCGTGACCAGTTCAGACCGTCGATACGGTGTCACGACGCGAGATCTCGCTGCGCGTGTCAGCAGGTGCATAGGCGTACTATAAAGCCACCCAAGATGATGCACAACATGTGGGTTTGTCGGCGTAGTAGGTGTGTGTATAGTTGCCGTCAGTATGATCACTGCTGCTGGTGTGTGATCACCATGGAGCCGGCTAGGAAGAGACCCCGTTCTCTAATGTGGGAACACTTTCAGCTGATCGGTCAAAAGACTGTGGAGAAACTTTTGTTCTTGAATAAAAATGACTGATTCTACATCCCTTGTATTTACTCACACCCTGTCCTAGTTACATACACACATATTACATCCTAGCACATCCTCTGTTTCCCGAAGCACGCCTTCTCCCACTACTCTCCTACTACACTACATACGTTCATAAACTCGACCGACTGACCAATCAATCTTTACAAACGTTTTCACATCATTCACATGAAGCCTAGTTATGCCATCACATAATTAAGACATTGTTCTGCTGCATACTATTCCGCCACCAGATGGCACTAAACCGAACCTTTAAATAAATGAACCAATACTCGATACAAGGATGAAGTGGTTCGATACAGGTGTCATGGTGTCAGTTGGACATCACTAGACAATAGCAGCTCAGGGGAGAAGGCGGTCCTCTCCTCATGGATCTCACCCAGAGTATGCAAATCAAACTATCCTTAGCCTTGCCCCTCCAAGCCATCCCATCCTTGGCACAGCAGTGACAGAGAAGTGAAACTGAAAGTAAAAACTTTGGCATTGAAAAAGACTTACATTAACAACAACAAAACAACGAAATCAGAAGACTGTCATTTTCTCAGTATTAATACTTTTTTAGTGCCAAAGTTTTGTTCCAATACAAATGCTTCAATGTCAATGTTTGCTTTTTCAGTTGTGGTTTTGTTTTCAGTGGCAAGTTTTATTTTTCAGTGCCAAAAACTAAAGTAATCGATAAACAACAGTTATTTTAATAAGAGACACGTTCAAACAGCCTTTCACCTGGCAGATGAGCTGACCTTGCTGGCAGGGACAGCTTTAACTGCTGTTTATCACGTTTTCAATGTACCAGAAGCTTCCATTTCTACACAGCATTTTATAAACACGTGAGATTTATTAGACAACTGACCGTGGTTGAATAACGTTACAGCAATATGGACAACCAGAAAAGAGTCCTGTCAATTTCCTAAATAACTGTTGGTGTTGTTTTACGCTGAGCTGCTCCACGGAAACAATATTGAAAACGACCGAAAATTATTCTTATGTGCTCAACTTTAATTTACAAGCCAGCACCCCTTATAACACCCTTTTCCTAAGACGTCCATTCGTATGTGACAAACAATCTAATGTTAGCAAAGAACCCCAGTTTGCTAGCTCATCGGATATCGCAGGCTGGCGAGAATGGTGAAGTTTCTATTTGGCAAACAACCTGGCTAGCTACTTCTAGAGGAAACAAAACGACATACATCGCTGTCGACTTCGATGTCATCGTTTTCGCTCATTCTTCGGTTAAAATGTGTATGAGGGAAAAAAGCAGCTGTCAAATAGTACAGCGACAACTGGAAACAAATAATAAAATGTAGCACTGCAACTCTGCTACAGCACAGACATGACGATAAACGTTTCTCTACACGTGATTCGCCTACACATGGACAGGAAAACATATACAGCGCAGGCGTAACAACCAAGGCCTTGTGGGTAATGAGGTTTTTCGGTAATACGCAGTCCGATCTACAGTTGTGCTGTTCCGGAATTTGAACGACATTTCCCACAAGTCCACGAAATTGATGGATCAAAATAAACCTTTAACATCAAGCAGTTGCAACAACAGCAGCCACAGGGTTTCAGTTATGAGTCTAGTGGATCATGATGTTATTTGCTATGTAATTAAAAGAATATATAAGAAAACATTTAATTAAACTGTCATGAATAAATCAGTAACGCATTAAATCTCTACTGTCATACTTGATGTAGCCTAATATATTTTCTAAAAATTTACTTTGTATGCAAAATGGTTCTGTGGTATAAGGACTGAAAGGCAAGGTGCTGTTTCACTGTTGTGCTACAATTACTACTCTTCTTACAGCATATTATTTTGAGGCCAGATGGTGGCCTAGCTCACTTCAGCTGTCCTCCCCCACTCACCACCCAGGGCTGCACACTTGCCTCCATAGGACCTTTAAATAGCTGCAGCAGCAAGCTTCTACTGCTTGTAAACCTACCGTAGCACTGAAGAGATGTGCTTTATTACACTGTAAAAATGTATAAGGTGGCACAATTTTAAAAAAGCAGTAACAAGCGGCACAGCTTTTTTGAGTTTATTCAAGTTGTTGAGTAAATGTTGCCCAAACCTAATATTTCACATTGCCATTTAGTTGACACAGCACACCCAGTTTAAAATGTTACACTGGCTCAACCTTCTACAATTGAAATAATTAAATGAGCTGAAGTAGTGTGAGTTGTGGGCTTAACTACTTCTCTCTAAGGTCAAGTTAGCTCAACTTTTATAATATTCAAAGTATTCGATTGGCTCAGGGAAACGGGTGCGAATGGAGCTGCAGGACCCCTGGAGAATGGGGGAAGACCTGCATGTCTGCCACAACTATAATCTTAAAAAATAAATAAATAATATTTCATTTTACTGGTTATGTTCATATTCTAATAATATTTTGATCTTAGCAAGTAGTAAATAGTTGATCTTGGGTTACAAATTTTGGCCAAACCCTGCCTCTTTGCAACAGGTGTGTGACCTTACCTGCTGCAAACAGGGGCACAATAGCACAAGAATATGCAAAAATTAAGTTTTAATTTCTTTATCAGTACATTAAAAAGAACAAAACCTACTGGATCAGAAGCAAAAATTGACAGCAGCAGCAGTACCTGCAGCACATACAATGATAGACCATGTAGGCCTACCTTACACTCACGCATGTGCAGGGAGACATTGTTGAGCAATTGGATATATACCACATAATGAAAAGTTTCTTCAGTGTGAATCCCGAGTGCAAGAACACTTTCCATCCATCCATCCATTATCTATACTGCTTATTCCTGAATAGGGTCGCAAGCGGGCCAGAGCCAATCCCAGCTTGCAAGAACATCAGGTTTTCATGCACTGCCAGAGTACAATTGGCCTAAATGCAATATCTTATTATTAGGATAATGTACATTACATCTGTGTATTGTGTAAATATGTGTGTGTAGTCCATATTTTGAGTTTAATTACATGACTATTATTTCTTTCATAGAGAATTATGGTACTGTATGTTAATCACAGCACAGCATATTTTCATAACCACATAAGAAAACATGCACAACCAGTTTCATATATCATACAGAACATAGGCCTATGAGTGTTGAGGGTGGAGCCCTCCAATCCCCCAACTCACACATATTACACCATCCCCACAGCACATGCCACTTAGAAACATGTTTCCATGGCTATGGTTGGCTCAACTTGTTGCTGTTGTTCATTGTGTGGATGCTTTACAGCATCCACACAAATTATTCAGCTTTATTTTGAAAACCTTGTGTCATTCAAATGAATGGGAAAATTCTACTTCAGCATAATTTCAGCTATCAAAATGTTCAGCTCTTCAAGGACATTCATACTACTATTCAGAAGTTTTCTAAACTTCATACATTTTAAATATTTAGCTTTATTTTGAAAATCTTGCCCATTCAAATGAATGGGAAACTTCTACTTCTGCATACTTTCAGCTATTTCAACTATTAAAATGTTCAGCTCTACAAGGACATTCATACTACTATTCAGAACTTTTCTAAACTTCATTCTTTTGAAATATTTAGGTTTATTTTGAAAATATTGCCCCATTCAAATGAATGAGAAAACTTTTATTTCTGCATTCTTTCAGCTATTAAAATGTTCAGCTCTTATTTAACATTTTCAGGGCGATCTTTCAGCACTCAGCATCCATACGCATTTTCTTCAGAAAATGGAATTTTCTAGTGTAATAATTCATTTCAAGCTGTCTTCATACAGAAAATAATGGGCTTGCTGCCACCTTGTTATATAACAGGACATCTCATTGTGTATTTGTGATGTCGCGTGGCTCGGCTTCCCGTGTTTATGTTTCTGTATACCTGTTCTCTCCCCGCTACTGTTACCGGTTCACATGTGATGGTGAGATTAGCTATTTGTTTTGACAAACTGTCAAAACACTGACTACATAGATGAAAAGTGGACAGGTCCTTTAGGGGAACAGGAGAAATGTTAGTTTCGGGATTGTGGTCAGTTAGCCCCTCTAGTGGCCATGTCAGGAGTAACGTTGGAGAGTTTTCTTCCTCTCCTCCTTTATTTTTTTCCCTTTTTTTTCCTTCATTTGGCACAGTGAGGCAGAGAGCGCGGTGGTAATATCCCGAACGAGATTTCACCTGACATACTGACACTACACACAAATTATTTGAAGTTGAGGAAGTAACTCAGGTTGTAAAGTGTAACACGACAAGTGAGTTGTGAACTACGGATTCGGAGGAGCAAAGGACAGTTAGGAAGCTGTATTTATGACCTGTATTTATGACTTATTGGCAAGTAATTTTCTTCCATCCAGTCATTAAATTTTTCTATGCTGGCTCCAGGTGCTCTGTAGATACAGCTTTTTATAACATTCTTCTTTTTTTCCAAAAGTAATTCAACAGTCACACATTCGAGTAGATTATCTACTACCATAGACATTTTGTCTACATTCTTGTAACAAAAGTTCTTATCTATGCGGGCATTAAGTGCGAATGTTATGTGTATTATTGCGCTGTAAATGTTGTGATATATACTTGGTTAAAGTCAGTAAATTGGAAGTAAGTTATACTACTGTTAAATGCACATCTTAAAATTGTGACGCACATAATTGTGATTTAGAAATATCAGAGACTGATTTAATGGGTACTGTGGACAGCTGAATAATTGCCCTGCCCATTGTGTGCAGGCTGAGCTCTTCAGGGACATTCATGCTTGTCTTAAGAATTTTTCTAAACCTTATACCTTTTAAATATTTAGCTTTATTTTGAAAGTTTTGCCTGATTCAAATGAATGGGAAAATTCTACATCATACTTTCAGAGGTGTTTCAGGTATCAAGATATTCAGCTCTTCAGGGACATTCATGCTTGTCTTAAGAATTTTTCTAAACCTTATACCTTTTAAATATTTAGCTTTATTTTGAAAGTTTTGCCTGATTCAAATGAATGGGAAAATTCTACATCATACTTTCAGAGGTGTTTCAGGTATCAAGATATTCAGCTCTTCAGGGACATTCATGCTTGTCTTAAGAATTTTTCTAAACCTTATACCTTTTAAATATTTAGCTTTATTTTGAAAGTTTTGCCTGATTCAAATGAATGGGAAAATTCTACATCATACTTTCAGAGGTGTTTCAGGTATCAAGATATTCAGCTCTTCAGGGACATTCATGCTTGTCTTAAGAATTTTTCTAAACCTTATACCTTTTAAATATTTAGCTTTATTTTGAAAGTTTTGCCTGATTCAAATGAATGGGAAAATTCTACATCATACTTTCAGAGGTGTTTCAGGTATCAAGATATTCAGCTCTTCAGGGACATTCATGCTTGTCTTAAGAATTTTTCTAAACCTTATACCTTTTAAATATTTAGCTTTATTTTGAAAGTTTTGCCTGATTCAAATGAATGGGAAAATTCTACATCATACTTTCAGAGGTGTTTCAGGTATCAAGATATTCAGCTCTTCAGGGACATTCATGCTTGTCTTAAGAATTTTTCTAAACCTTATACCTTTTAAATATTTAGCTTTATTTTGAAAGTTTTGCCTGATTCAAATGAATGGGAAAATTCTACATCATACTTTCAGAGGTGTTTCAGGTATCAAGATATTCAGCTCTTCAGGGACATTCATGCTTGTCTTAAGAATTTTTCTAAACCTTATACCTTTTAAATATTTAGCTTTATTTTGAAAGTTTTGCCTGATTCAAATGAATGGGAAAATTCTACATCATACTTTCAGAGGTGTTTCAGGTATCAAGATATTCAGCTCTTCAGGGACATTCATGCTTGTCTTAAGAATTTTTCTAAACCTTATACCTTTTAAATATTTAGCTTTATTTTGAAAGTTTTGCCTGATTCAAATGAATGGGAAAATTCTACATCATACTTTCAGAGGTGTTTCAGGTATCAAGATATTCAGCTCTTCAGGGACATTCATGCTTGTCTTAAGAATTTTTCTAAACCTTATACCTTTTAAATATTTAGCTTTATTTTGAAAGTTTTGCCTGATTCAAATGAATGGGAAAATTCTACATCATACTTTCAGAGGTGTTTCAGGTATCAAGATATTCAGCTCTTCAGGGACATTCATGCTTGTCTTAAGAATTTTTCTAAACCTTATACCTTTTAAATATTTAGCTTTATTTTGAAAGTTTTGCCTGATTCAAATGAATGGGAAAATTCTACATCATACTTTCAGAGGTGTTTCAGGTATCAAGATATTCAGCTCTTCAGGGACATTCATGCTTGTCTTAAGAATTTTTCTAAACCTTATACCTTTTAAATATTTAGCTTTATTTTGAAAGTTTTGCCTGATTCAAATGAATGGGAAAATTCTACATCATACTTTCAGAGGTGTTTCAGGTATCAAGATATTCAGCTCTTCAG